CTTAACAGTAACTTGGTACAGAAGGAGTTGCCGGGAACGACTCGACTTATGCTACTTTAAGCTAATTTACTGGATAGGGGATGTAATTAAATAAGACTCAAGAGTCTTAACTGCTTTAGTACTAAAGTTAAGTTCACGTTAAAAATACTGTAAATGTAATTTTTATCTTTCATTTTTTTTGTTAAAAGTGGCGAATTTGCTTAAAATATCAAAATGACTGCTACTAATGGACATCCTTACACATCCAGGCACATGCCCTACCTATCATTAATCGAAAGAGTGGATGCACAGAATGAGTGTAAGACATTTTTTTTAAATTTAAATTGCCATTAAATTGCGTGCATTAAAACGAATAGAACAAAAATATCAGTAATCAATGACAGCTACTAGGGTTGCGCAAAAGTAATTTCTCGCAATTTCTCTTTTTAAAGTCGAGGCATCGGCCGACAATGCGGTCTCCGGACAGGACAAAGGACAACTACAGTCATTGTCCAACATTTTATGCCTCGCCGCTGCCCGCTGTGTGCCGTGTACAGATGTCTTTATTGTTCTCTACATTACTGACTTACTGCACGATACAAGAATACTTTCAAATTTAATTTATTCTTGGGTTAAGTAAAAATATTCACCATATGAAACTTTACAAGTATGACAACTCTTTTATATAATCAGGCACATTTTTCCATCCGTTTTGTAACATATATTTTCCGTTTCAAACATACAAACACATTTATTCTCTCCTCGGTTATATATTTACATGTTACGAAATAAACTTGTTTAATTTATTTTTTTAAAAACAATACACTATATAAGATCCATCCTTTGTAAAATCATTAAAGCATTAAAATAATCCCAACCCTACACATTTTATAATCCCTTCTAATGAAAAAGTACAAATGAAAAATCAAGCATTCGCATTGCCCCGTCCCGCTCCGTATATAATCCTAATTCAAACAGAGAGCGAGTAAACACGCGAGCTAATAACTATGCAAATTTCGACAAACAAATCTGACAAGCGCAACTAGTGTAGAATTACGAGCGTGATTAAAGCGGACAGTTAATGAAAAATCCCTCCGACCCTTCGGGCGCGGGGCGCGGATGCCGCGGGGTGCGCGGGGTGCCGCGTGGGTTGCGGGGTGCTGCGGGGTGCTGAGGGGTGTCGGGAGGGCGAGTGCGCAGCGCGAGTTGCAGGATCAGAGGGTTTGCAATAAAATGCCTAGATCGCTGGCCGCAGGCAGCTTGCTGAAGTACAGTACAGTACAAAAGTGTTAAACATTTTAATTCAGTGATATTAATTTCAATCCCTGTTCACACAATTTTTTGTAGCGTAAGTTTAATAATAAAAAGAAAAAAGTCAGTCCTTTTGTATTAACGATTATTTATTGTATTGTGTATTACCTGCCTTAGACATGTTAGAATTGACTTCCAGCGCATTGCTTATTACAACAATAATGCCGCGCTGCGCACTAAATAGTTGTAACCGACACCACTTTTGTGCACAACATTACATTTATTCGGAATGATCGAGTCCACTCACTGCCGACAGCCACTCCCACTGATCCGGACACCTCGACACCTGACACCTGACACCGGACACCAGACACTTTGCACAGACATTTATATTTTATAACAAATCCCCACCAACGTGCTTGTTTCATCCCGCACCAATTGAAGATCAAAGAGGGATGATATTTTACACCCTATGTTGCGTGGAAATTTGACAACTTTGGAGTACAACAAACAATTTATTTGATACTCTTGTATGTTTCAACTCGAACGCTTTTATAACAAGCTTAGCCAGTCCTTATATTTACAACTAGGTGTAGCCGGCGACTCCGTCCGTGCGGAATTAGAAAAAAATTAGTAGTAGCCTATGTGTTCTTTCAGACTATGTTCTACATCTATTCCGTAGAGATCTTTGATACTTTATAACATCCATCCATCTTAAATTTCGCATTTATATAATTAAGATTAGCAAAATTATTACTAACATAGTCCAAGTACTATTGTAAAAAAGGGCCTTTAAATGTAAAACATTTAGTTAAAAGTGTTCACTGTCGTATGGTACACTTTAACTCTTGTATAGAGTTAGTTATAAGGTCACAGACCGCAGCGTCAAGTCACAACAGATTGTGCTCCAGTAAAACTGTTTAGTATTCAACATGTCTTCAAATATTCAAAGTGTACAATATTGTAGTGTTTACGAGTGAGCACTAAGGCTATCCGGAGCATTGAGGCGCTGCATAATGTATGCGCTATCGATTGCCAGCCCTCTTTAGACGTCAATTTGTCAGCCACGTCCGGGGTTCAAAGGCTTCCATTTTGCTGATCTATGGTTTTTAAAAGTGGAACACTGATGTTCATACAATATTAAAATATGGGTTAGGTGGAAATTGTTTGAAGTAATATTAACTTAGAATTTAACTAATATTATAAATGGAAATGTTTGGATGGATAGATGGATGGACGTTCGTCATAATATATCACCAGAACGGCTCCATGCATCGTTAAAATTTGGCATAGATGTAGAACATAGTCTGGGAGAACATATAGGCTACTATTTTTTTTAAAGATTGATAAAGGAAACTACAAAAAGTGAGGAGCAGTGTTACCAAGTGCATATTATTTCTATCTTTAAACCTCTAGCTAATACCTATCATGAATAATACAAAGTTATTACTGCATCTAATAATCGTATTTAATTATGGTCCTTCGAGTCGGATCCTAAATTACACAATCGCAAGTATTTAAATAAACTTTTAATGTCTTCTTTGTATATAAAAATAAAAATCTTAATCTTATCCTTAAGCTAAATCTCCATTTCATCCAGAATATCTAACACAAATAGTTTTAAGCGTCTCAAGGTTTATCCTATCTCTTCCAGCTCAAGTCTAATTAAATGGAGGGTATTAGCAAAGTTTAGCAAATTTAAAGCCAACTTAGCGTTGCAGCAGAGTTATGCACAAGTTGCGTTAACTAGACGGCCCACTAATTACTAGGGAAGTTTCAAAGCTTGTTATGTCTAAATTTTACTCCTGATGGGCGTTGTATACAACAATAACTATACGTGAGAAGTTAAACTCAGATAATCACAATTAAATATAAATAGAAGCGAGAGATTACTGCAAAAAATAAATCAAGATAAAATTATAGCTGAAGTTAACCTTCAAAATCTGATCTGAGAAAGTTCATGGATGGATTCGGAAGCATTAAGAGGGATAGATAGTGTGGAATAAATTACAGATAAAATGCATTAGATGACGGCGGTATTGGTATAGACGCCCCGCGCAGGCCCCACAGCCGCCCCGCGCACGCCCCGCAGCACCCCGCAGCTGCCCCGCATAAGCCCCGCAGCCTACATCGCTCATTGTTACAGATAACATAATCTTACGCCAGGAATCACGTACCGTAGAAATCCATTTGTCTCTTTTCCAACTGGTCGAAATGCCGATTAAATTAAAAAAAATATTCCAAAGGAATTATGACATCACACATATGTCAGGCTTCAAGTCATGTAGTTAAGCTAGTACTTTTCAAATGTATTGTTAATCATCATTTCTGTACCTAAGCTAATTTAGCAAAACGATTTATTCGATTATTTTAAGAACATGTTTGTAATATTTGAACTTAACATTGTGCTCTGTGAGGCCGCGTGTTGCGTCTAGCGAACACGAGATGTTTTCACTCGTTAAAATACTCGCACGAACTAACGAATTAATGAGTATTAACTAGTTGAGTTCTAAACAATAACGTAACAATTTAATTTTAACTCAGACATAATAATGAAACGAATACTCATGTAGTTACTAGCTTTAGTTGCTTGTTTTGAAGGTTAATATATTTGGTATAGAGTTAATTTTATTTTACAACTAGCTGTAGCCCGCGACTCTATCCGCGCGGTACTAAAAATAGATGTTGGCCGATTCTCAGAGCTACTCAATATGCTCACAAAATTTCATGAGAATCGGTCAAGCCGTTTCGGAGGAGTATGGGAACGAAAATTGTGACACGAGAATTTTATATATAAGATGTTTATTACGAAAAATTTTATGTACAGTAACAGTACCTAGAGTTTAAAAGATAGTAGATACAATGAGAAAATAATTTCTAATCTTCTTTATATTATTCGTTATTAAAGTCGTCTTTCCGGATGAGAGGATGCATGGAAATGTTTTATTTCTGTGCATCCTCTCCTCCGTCGATTAAAGGTATCCAACGCATGTGCAATTGCGTATGTCTATGGGCAACGGTCACTTCGCCATTTCAGCGATTTCATGTGGTCGGTCGCTCGTTTGCCGCCTTATGATATAAAAAAAAAGTAGCGCACATAAAAATGTTATTATGTACGCTAATTTATACATAACTACATAGTTATGTATAAATTAGCAAATGTATTTCTAATAGAAACCGATAAAACACTATGTTTAATCAACAAACTATTTGAATAATAACAATCATTGTCCAACTCGGTAGCTTATTAAAACTATATCGATAAGATAACATTATGCATGCATCAACATTCTAAACACAAGGGTATAAAGTCGTAAATCGTATAACAGAGACGAAATTACATTGGTAATTGATGTAGCGATAACGTCGTATGCAAATGCGTTTACACAATCAAAACGATATCACTTAATAGAATAGTGAGCTCATGTCCTCCGTCGCCGGTAAATTCTCTCCAATAAAATGTCTATTTGTCTCGTTTAAGTCGCAAACAAATAAAAGAGACGGCCAACAATTGAATGCATAAAGACCTGGCTCCAAGGCTCAGAGTAAGAGTTTTCAAGTCACACGTTCATGTGACAACAAGAAATCATTTTAGTTGTTAATTTATGCAATCGGTTAATTGAATTACAATATTATGTTTATTTATTTACTTATTTATTTATTTAAAAACTACATAGCATTCTTACAGTATACAACCAATTTGACACTATACACACTTTATATGATAGTTTACACGATAACATATTTTATAATAACAGTAAATAACAGTAAAGAATATATAAACGCGTAACTAAACATCAATATTCAAACGTCTTCCACACATCTGTACGCAGCCTCTGTGAGTTATCTTCATTGGGACAAAATAATCCTACATGTTAAAATTATAAACGTTATATTTACGAATTATGAAATATTTTTAGTCGAGTGTTTATTTCAATAAAATTCACAAATGAAACCAGTCAGAAGCAATCTCTTATTAAAAGCTTTCAGAATCCAAGATAAGATTAAATGTGGACAGAAATTTTCTTGTAAAATGAAGTGGTTCACTCTGAGAGCAATTATCTCGAAGTATTTAAGCCCGCGGATTTAGGTTTGTTTCAGAAAATTTACGACTTCTTACTAAATTACGTTTGTTTTACAAAATTAACTATGATTCATGAAACATCTGTTTCTTTTAATTTATCTCATTTACCTTCGGTTTCTGAGATCAAAATCCTCGTTTGAAACATATTGTAATCTATGTTTTGTCAACAGGGACGACGATATGTTTTATACAGAGATTTTGGTGTCAGAAACCTACGGTTAATCGCTTGTGATCTATTTATAAAAGGATATATTCTATTAAATTAACATCTAGTTGCTAATACGTAAATATTTTTTGGCTTTGCTACAGTACATAAATACTTTTGCTGATGAAATTTTCTTTACAAACTATAGTAATATAAAGTTATAAAGATAAAAGATATACTCATTTAATGTTTGATGTCTTCATTAATAATCTAGATTCCTAAGAAAGTAAAATAATTCAAACTTTCGTGAGACAGTTATGTCTATAAGCTACGGGCCACGTCCGCGAAATAATTCCAGTCCCACTCACCCTAATGTGCTCGAAACTAGTCGGTGCCGCCACCGGACGAATATACGCGAGTGTTTAGCCGTTTTTATATAAGTTTAAAGTAACATCAAATTAAAGTCCAGGTCAAAATTCCTGAACCTGGTTACGTGCGTTGGCCAGGCGGGGCATTGCGTGGCCAAACGGTACAGATTCAATGCACAATGCTCAATACATTACGTTTAAGCAAAACCAACGCTTAGTATGCTGCTATAGATGCTAAATATTCCAACTTCTGTAACCAATAATCATTTTAAAAAGCTTACTTATGGCTTGTAATGATATTAGGATACTTATAATTAATTTGTAACAATCAAATGTCGCCAGTTTAATATTTATATTAAAAACAACCAAGTTCATCAAAGATAATATTGGTCCTTCGAGCCGATAACTTTTCTAAATTACATTTTTTTTTATTGTGTCTTATAGTTATTTTATTTTATTAAATAGGAATCTGATCTGTTGTGTCTGTACATCTCTTTGATGTAGCGGCCGTGTCTCTGTAGTTCTCAGACTTCTGTGTCGGAAATAATTTCTATATTTAGAAAGACTTGATCCAATTTGTGAATCAATAATTTAGTTATGCTTTTGTTATACACTGTGCTCTCTTTTAAATATGAAATTTTTCTTGCCTTAATAACTTATTATAAAGTTAAAAACAACTTATCAAAATCAATATTTTTCAAAAACACTTCAAATGTAACACATTGATAAAATTAATTGCAACATCCATTAACCTAAATGGATTCAAAATCTCTGACAGACTCTCAGCTTTATTTAATAAAAAAGTCACAGGAAACTGTGAGTCGAAGTTGGATTTTGATGGATTTAATTACATCGCAGACATGGCCGCTGTGGAGGCAAATCGGATAGGCGGGAAATTGACTCGTAACGTTTGTCTCAACCAGTGCTCCCCAAAGTATTCCAAATCGACACGCTAGGAACGATAGAAGACCCAGCTAGCGTTTAGGTAATTAAGTAGAGGGTTAATCAGTTGAAAAAGCTACTTTTTAGTAGGATTATGGAGGTTGAAAAGCCAATAAAATTTTCTACAAGACAGAAAGTTTGAGAATCTCTGGTCTAAAGATTTAACTTTTTTCATAAAGCGAAAGCAATTTCACCAATGCCTCTTTGATATTCCTCATATTCGAAGCGCGGGAAATATTATTACTTGAATCTGTGATGTTACGATGGTATAATTTTACGAATAAAGTTATTTTTCATAAGGTTAATTTAAATTGAACGCAAGTAAAATAATGTATGTAAAACTTCTGCTCCGAGAGATTTTGAAATGACCAAAATTATAAAAGAAAAGCTTATTTTGCCTATGTCTACTTCCATAATATGTTCTACATCTATGCCAAATTTCAGCGTGATCAACACAGCCGATCTGGAGATACCTTCTTAGAAACAACATAGTAAGATGTACTTCCAATTGATAATATCATTAAGATGCAAACTCATGTCTCAATGTAAGAGGGCCAATGAGAATTAATGATTGTAAAATGATATGTAATTGTTCAAGATTACTGTGATTTTGATAAATATATTACAAGGATCATTAAATTTAATATATAAACTAATAAACAACTGTAAATATAACACATTGATCTATTAAAAGATACATAACTAAATAAATAATTATTATTTAATCAGTCTAGACATTTAAATAAATGTTAATAATACAATATACAAAAATATATGTATACAGTTTGCTTTTAATACGAGACGTGTTAATGCAAGTTTCACACGAAGGAGGAACGGTGAGGTAAAATCAGGGCAGTAGACATTGCAGTACTATTGTTTTAACGCGCAACTTCGTGCATTCGTATAATAGCAGTACTGAACAGTTTACTGCTCTACCTCACTCTTCGTGTAGACATACTACAGATAAATCGGATACAATCATTCAAACAAACGCCTGCAGTACCGCGCCAAATAAATCAACGGAAATGTGTTCCAAATTGCAAACCGGTGCTGAATGTCGACCCACGCTGATCTTAAACGAGTCTCAAGTTAATGAAGATTAAGTAAATTTTAATATTTGGCTTTAATTAAGACTAAAATGAATAGCGAATATTATTTAAAATGTGTAAGTGTAGGAAATTACTGGATATTAAATTTTGTGTAATAAATAGTATAATACAAAAGAAAGGATAATTACATCGCTAGCGTACTTTTATATCGTATTAAGATTCGTGAAACCCTTCAAAATAGTATGATACTTAATAAAATAAACAATTTTAAGATATTTCGAGATATTACACATTCATCTCTTCAAAAAATTTATAAAATAATTATTACATATTATTAAAAATGTGTATAATCTGTGGTTAATATTGCCAGCAGTGTATCCGAAACTGTCATAGACAAAAAAAATTGTGTCTTTTCATCGCGGCGTTCTATTTTCAAAACTCCGAGCGTGTTTCGATTAATTTGTCATACTCTCAGCGTTCATCGCCGAGTCACCTAACCAGCGCTATTATTTATTTTTATTTTAAACGGCGAAAGCCTAATCTTTATCGTTTCGAGATATTTATTATGTCTAGCGGATAGGGTTGCTACGTTATAAAAATTCGCTAATACAAATAAAAAAGTTGACATAATAAACAAAAGTGTAATATTTTTTTTTGTCTATAAAATAATTCGCATTTAACATTTTTGTTCGAAACTGCAGAAATGGTACTTTTTTATATATTCACAGCTAAGATTTATTTCAACACCTGATGTTAATCAAATATACTGAACAATTTCTTAAAAAAATCCTAACAACATTTAAAATTGTCAACGATATGGTTACCATTCGGCGCCATGAATTCAAATAAATTTTATGTTTCCTTCGTAATTTATAATATCCGCTGACATAAGTTTTATGACGTTTTACTGACACTAAAATGTTGCCCGTATATTTACACATTTAGAACTTTTTAAATTATTATATAAAATATTAATAGTACAGGGATAATTACTGAAGCTTTTTATAGTGTAAAATTATTTTATAGTTTTAAAAATAATTTCTAACGACTTAAATAAATATACAAATAAAGATTTTGGTTGTTGTAACTGGGTTATTAATTAACTATTTTTATTTTGTATACTTCTAAAATCACTTTGAAAGATTAAACATCCTATCCAGATTTCACAAACGTACAGATCGTTGTTCAATTTCATACATACATACGACTCGAGCGGCACTTGTGTCAATGAATATTAATTAGTTTAATAAACCTACTTTAGTTTAAACTCTCTTAAGCCATCTGCACACGTTAGATATAATTCTATCCGATTGTTCAGTTAAATCTGAAGATATGTGGCTTTATTGTAATGTTACTTGATTAGATCTCTTACATTTTTTTTGTCTTTAATATAAAAGATTTGTAATTTTTTTTGGTCACCCTTAAAATGGTTTCCATAAAAATAATATTTACTACAAATATTTAAATACGTTACGTTTCCACTGCGATTTCAATGGTTCCTATGTAAACTATCGTGAGCCACAATTTTGCAATATCATGAAACTAACGTTAGAAAGAAGTAGAACTATAGTTTTTTGTTGTCAATTATATGTTCATATGATGCAAATTTTGCATTTTATACATAGGATAGTTTACGTAGGAACCAACGAGTTAACAGTGGAACATACACAGTCTGCTACTTAAGATCGAACTCCCTTGAGGGAAACAAAAGAACAAAAGTATAATTGTACGTAGGTGTACGGTTCAATAGCGGGGTATCGGCAGGGATCCGTGATGGTAAGGCGGAGGTGTGATACCGCCTCGGGCAGGATTATAGTATGGGCCAAGTTAAAAGATCATACAACATATTAAAAACTTTTTACATTAATGTAATTCTTTATTACTAAACTTCATGTTACTTTATAATCTCTGTCTACCTCTTAGGGTTTTGTGCTTGATTTGTATTGTTGGTTTATCATATCGCTTTTCTACTGAAAAGTGAACCTAAACGACTGTCGTCATTTTTAAATAATCCTTTGATTTGCAAACATACCTTAATGCAAATGTTGGTTGTAATGTAATGTAGGTATCAGTGGTATCGCTCGACGTTTATCACTTGGACCACACACCAAATAAATAATTTGTCGAATGTAGTCACGAGAGATGAGGTTTAATAGTAATATGATGGGATCGGGACTTAACTGTCGGTTGCCGCGTCTACCTCGGTTAAATAGATAGTACCTGATGCCACATTATACCTTTATCTCTGCCCAGACTTAGTTGATTCAACTTGACCGCGTTTAAATTATACAAATTGTTTTCGATATTAATTTAATAGTTAGCTATAAACTTTGTTTTATAAATAAACATAACGTCTGCTTTTTGATCTGGGTTGAAAGAGGTTTTGATGTTTGACGGATTCATTAAAAGTTATGTTTCATACATAAACTATTAAGTTATAAATTAACTTTATCAGTATTAACCCAAAAAGGTTGTATAACCCTATTGAGACAACAGTACTTTGAACAAGTTTGCGTATTTTATAGAGGAAAAAGTGTCTATATTCCGCTTTATACTCTCTTTTTCATCTGGCTAAAGATGCATTTCCAAGTTATAATTCTTTATGTTGAAAAAATGTTCTTTTAACAATAAGAAGACATCAAAATATTTCCAAACTTTTCGCTTCCAATAACTTTAACATCAATAAAAAGCCGCATCTAATCTCCATCTGCGGTGACAATGAACCCACTTAGTCTTATCTTAGATCTTCAGATATAACTACGACGTCCAGCGCAACTCTAATTGTATTATATACCAACTTTAATGGATTCAATTAGTTATCGCCTTCGACTCTTAGAATTGAAATAATACGGTCCAACTAAAATGACATACATTATAATAAATTTAATTAGAACTTGTAAACACACGCACATAAATATGTCATGATTTTTATATAGTTTAGTGTTTTATTATAATATAATTGTCAGACATGTTTTCTTATTTTTTATTTAGTTTAGATTTTAATACGATATATTCAATGTACCAATAGACGAAACAATCGTCGATCCACAATCTATCCAATACTCGTTACTGCCAAGTAACAAGTCTAATTTGACAAGCCAGCATGTGAAGTAACTACTGATTTAACTTATTTGTTGAGAAATATTTATAAATAACCGCTCATTAATCGATTTATTTAAATCTCCCTGTCCCAAAATATATGATCTAAATATATGGTCTGTCCTCGGCAAGAACGCTAAAACTTAGGGTCGTTCAAGAAGCGAGCGTATCACAGTCTTTAAGGCTGGCAATGCATCTGCGGTTCCTCTGGTATGTGACTGATTTGCACCTTTCTCTTATAAAAAATAAATAAATAAAAGATTAAATAATGATCGTAAACAGTAACATTGCCTTATTAACATCAAACAGACTCATAATATAGAGTACACAACAATCAAGATCAACAAAGGGACATAAACAAATGAAGGCGCAAGCAGTTCATAAAACGAAGGCATGATCCCGCCAGCTCCGGCCGTAAACCAGTTGAAAATGATTGAAGAAAAGTTTCATTAAAAGTCTGCTTCAATAAATACTTTAACCGTCGAGAAGTTAACAAGCGTGCCACGGCTTTTATAGGTCTTTTACCGATATTTACAGCCGTCGTAAAGGCAAGTGTAACGACCTGCGCCTGCGCATGCACTGCGCTTCCTCTCTCTACTCTCACATCTCACAGTATGTCATACAGTTTCTAAACGAGGGTATGAAAAAAAAACAGCATTAGAAGAACAATGTCTGAAGGGTGTAAACATCAGGGCGAGCGAAGGCAGTGCACTAATATGCCACAATGTTGACAGTTTTGTGGACGAAAATTTGGAACTGACTCTTTTTATTTTTGGTACAGTAATTTCTATTAATGTCTAGACTTCTACCTTCCGAACTGTCCTACAGCACCGCTTTTACTAGTTTATAAAAGTTCCAGTAAATCTAAAGTTGGCTAGAAATTAAAAACACATCATTGTTTTTCAACAAGCATATTTTTCTTGATTTAATTTAGTTACTACTTTAAACGAAGTAACGATAAATGATTTCAATCACATTTGTCTCCATACTTTAGGATCATTTAACAAAATAATATAACAACAATAAGTCGTAATCTTTTAATCAATTACATTCGTAACACGTGCGGCGTCTGACAGGTTAAGTGGATTGTTCTCGAAACTTTCTCCCGCTTTGAACTAAGCGCCCGCGCCGCCTCGCTAGGAGCGGGCAGAGTACTTCTCTAGGTCACGATTACATGTCTGATGAGCATGTTGTAGCATAATAAAGTACTCACAATATGCGCTATTAACAAAGATTAATCAATTAAAAAAAGTCTCCATAAGTTCAGGTAGGAATAGGAGTGCCTGAAGTTAGGGACTACTGAGGGTAGGCTCCGAGCAACTTGCTGGAGACGCATAGTGAGCTGATGATGAATTTAAAAAGTCTGGCATACTCAAAGTCTTAAGAGACCCTTAGAATTTTCTCCTTTTAAAAACAGTAAATACTTTGAATGTGCAGAAAGAAACAAAATAAAGTCAAAACATAGATCTTCACTTGTTAATCAGAGATACATACAGAAAAAAATCTAGTTTAATTACAGGTAGAAAAATAAATATGTATTTGTGTTACTTATCCATATAAATGGATAGGTTATTTCTTGCAAATTACAGCTTTTATTTCGTTGCTACTTCATTGCTCTTATTGAATTTATTGACAGTTAATTCTGTGTCTATTATTAGTTCCTCACCACCGCTGCCAACTGGAACCATCAACGCCAAAATGGCGGAAATCAAAGTGGCACGAAATACCACATTATATAGCCTATCCATTTATAGTCAGAGATTTTTGTTGTTTTTGTTCTTCGTCTTCCAAATCTTTTGACCAGTAATAAAATTTCTATTACCAATCAATTTTTAAATCTTTACTTTCCCTGTCTCATGTCATATATTATTTGTAAAGCAAGCCATTTGCTGGCCTATTAAATGCACCATCCAGACGCCCAATTCAAAGATATAATAAACATAATTAGGTACAATCTGGTTGCCGGTAATTTGGTGTTCCGACAACTCTGCATCTTTGGGAACCGTGGTAAACAAGGGTCGTTAATGTCTTGCTTATTATTGGTAAATTAAGTTAATTCGATAGAATAGATTATGTGTTTGGAATTCTTCTGATTTTATGCAAATTAAAGGTTAAAAATAAAAAGAATTTAAAGTATTTCAGTCTGTAGAATCGAATTTTGCAAGTTATCATAAAATCTTTAAAGTAAAAACTTAAGTTTTAACCTTCATTTTCAATTAAAATTGTTTTAGCTTTATCTTAGACGTCTTTTAAACATCTTAGGGAGAAATGTGTCAATAAGATTATCTGACAAGTGTAAATTCAAACATCCTACCTGTCTATTCAGGTCTCATTAATATCTTAATGGAAAACAACACTGAATATTCATGAAAATACTAATATAAATAGTTGAAATTCTCACCACCAAACTCATTCGATTTTCAAACGTGGACGGTGAAACATAACCTTTGAATATTAAACCTTTTTATTGTCACCATGAAGCTATTAATTGTTTTGTCGATGATAATTTGTTTACAATTATCTCAAGCTAATTATTGCGGAACACTGGCTGAATTGATTAAAGCGACCTGTGACGTATCGATTATGAAGAAATCGATACCTATATGGAACGATTACAGATGGCAATGGATCAAACCACATATGTTGCATAAGCTGACAAAGACTGTACTAAACGAGTGCTGTGAAAAAGGATTCAATATCGACGAACTTCTATATTATTGCTAAAAATACCCAAATACTTTCGTGAAACATCTAATTTATTAACATAGAAAGTTATAACGCTGTAGAAGATTTTAGTATAAATGCTACCCAGGACACAATTTTAGGTGCACCGGGGCGTAAAGGGATGCGAGGGAAGGACACAGCTCAAATCGCCAACGACCTTGGACCACCAATATATTTGAAATAAGACATGTAACACTTTTTGACGCTATTATAATAAAGATTGTATGTAGTAGAGTTACTTCTTTCCTTTATATAATCGAAAACATAATAAATATATGTCGACTATTAAATTATTCAAACTTTCGTGAGACATTATGCTAAACTGATATATAAACACGGCTAAACACTATATACGTGAGTGTTTAGCCGTGTTTATATATCAGTTTAATATGTCGACTAAATACTCGTAACATAAAATTTGTATTCAGCTCACATGAGCGTAGTTGTATGTGGTACGATATTAAAATCATTATGATTTAATATTGCTCATATTAAATAGCGACGTTATAGCGATAGATAAATGAAAATTCCGCCAGGGGGAGACACAGACAGCCTACAAATAAATATCACAACCCCTGCGGTTGTAGGCGGTGGTACAACACACAAGCGTTGAGCGTTAGATTAGATCCTCAAAAAACACAATATAGTTCCCGACCTAGGGCTACTTCTTTGGGTTTGGCAAACAGGATTGGTTGTAGTTTTTTTTATTATTTTTCTACGTCCGCGGACCTACCAAATATTGCCAATACATTGGTCATCGTTTATTTTCGCCGCCAGCGATGATACGTTGCGGTCTTAATCACACCCGTAGCCTGAAGGGGTAGGCACAATTTATTGATTTCCATTTCGCGTTATTCAGGTACACGGGCAGTAGAGATAGATATAAACAAGCTCCCATCTACATATTTCTAAACTATATTTGAAATAAATTATACTTTCCTGTTATCGATGTTAGAAATTGAAAATTCTAGTCGCGTCCGCTTTGAACTTAAGGTAAACAATGTGCTTTAAGTTCAATAATGTTGTCTACTTTATTACGGAAGTTGTAAATAAAGCTTTGCGATACACATAATATTACCTCTTAAAGCTATATAACCTATTTGGAGTAGACACAGGGGAAGAAAAACCTACGATTGAAGTTTGAAAACATGACATTTAGACTATTGTCAATAACTGGACTAAAAACTTCATAGGTTTATGTTTTGAATTTAGAAAGTAAATAAAATGTTATTATTTTAGACTTTAGCTTTGCAACGCATGTCGAATTCAGCTATTATATTAAAATTATCTCATCACTTAAGTTAACATACAGACAATGTTAAACCGTCAAGTTGAGATAAGTTACAGAGTTGTAACCTGTAAAGACAGAAGAAGCTTAACAATACCTCTAATTAAGTTTTAAAGATGTTATTTAAGTTTTAAATTAATTTCGACTTTATTTTCAAAGAAATAAACTCTAATTTTGAGTATCGTGTTGTATACATATAATTAAGGTGTAATTAGTGAAGTTATGACGTAACATCTGTTTGTGAGTTGAAAATAATTATGGATACACAATTCACGAGATGTCGTGTCTCAATCAATCATTTTGTGTTTATTGTATTTTATTATTCGACGTAAGTTATGTAATCGAATTAATTCGCGGTTAATAATTAAATAAAATGCTTTGGAACTTTATATGTTATGTAATTGAGACGACGTTACAATTGTATTTTGTTTCTTGATAATTAACAAACAGCTAAGCAATCAATCATATTATCTTACTAATATTATAAATGCGAATGTTTAGATGGATGGATGTTTATTTGAATGTATCTCCAGAACGACTGCATGTATCTCGCTGAAATTTGACACACATGTAGAACATAATCTGGAAAAACAACTACTAATTAAGTTTTTTCAATTCCTCGCGGACGGAGTCACGGGCGATAGCTAGTAAATGTTACATTTATATTTAAGCTTTTTCCTTTTCTATTTCTTACGGAGATTCTCAGTATTAGTATACTGAAAAAGTAATCTTTTCCATACATCTCTATCAGCCATCATATCTGAATTCACATAAGTTACAAATAAGTTAAAAAGGTGCTACGCCTTTAATCCCCGTGAGGAGTTTGAAGGAAAAATCCAATGTAATCTTATTGTAAATAAAAAGAAACTCACTTTTTACGCATATCCTCTTTCAAACAGTATATTCTTCTGTCTCTTTCTACCTTATATAAATTACATGAGATCTGATTACTTTCTTACAAGTACTAAATACTCTTTACTCTTTGTATGGAAGGTTACGAGGTCAGTATGCCGTTCAACATAATTTCATGTCACATTTTTCTCACGTAGACAAAACAAAGTTTTTCGATTTTTATTGTTTTTTAAATTGCTACAATATACCATACAATGTAACAACGCTCTGTTTAAGAATTTATTATGTCTTTGTGTTTGGAGTTTAGTGTTACTAAATACTAAAGTAACATTTCATCTATGTACTATCCCTTTAATCTTATATACTCGTAAATGTTACTATAACTGTAGCGTTGTCTTCCCAACTTAGCCGAAACTTAGTTTTATATTTTAAACTTACTTCTAACTGAAAATAGATTAAATTAGGAATAACAATAGATACTTTTTCATGTTTAAACATTATTGTTAACTAGTGGTCTTCTGCGACTCCGTCTGCGCGGAATTAAATACAAACTTAATAAGTCGCCTATGTGTTCCTGACTGTTCTACATCTGTACCAAATTTCAGCGAGATCCATACAACCATTCTGGAGATACCTTCTAACAAACATTCATCTAAACATTCGCATTTATAATATTAGTAAGATATTAAGAAAGATATATTGTACAATTTGACACAAACAAAAATACAAAATTTTAACTCACCCAAGTTACCGGACCTATATCATTTAGGTATATTGTAATGTTACCTGAAAAAAAAAATTTCATTAAAACCAGACACATCTAACAGCTCTATCATAATTATAAACATTAAAAACGTTTATATCAAAAATGTTACGACACTTCAATTAACTTAATGGCTTTAAATAAATTGAGCAAGAAAATATGTTTTTATATGTCGTCATATTTTTATAAGCGTTAAAGGACGTCCACATGTTAAAGTAAAATGTATGAATACAAACATAACATAGGTCACTAGATATCTTATTGGATTGGATAACGCTTATATTGTGCATTAATATATATCTTAAATTAATTTCTTAACTATAGAGCGCCTATGAGCGTCGCTGGCTCAGGGGTCAAACACTAGACTTGCAATCTGCAGGTCCTGGGTTCGAATCCCGCCATGTAGCAATATGTTTTTCAATATCCGATTTACATTTGGTGCAACCTGCACATATCTGAGAAGAAATTCAAAGATATGTGTGAAGTCAACTAAACCGCACTTAGCCAGCGTGGTTGACTATGGCCTAGTTACCCCTAACTTAGGGTAGGCTCTGAGCCCCTCAGTGGGAACGTATAGTAGATTACGATGATGATGATGATAAATGCGCCTTACATCTACACTGAAAGTTAATTATTACTTAATTTATAAAAATTCTACACTAAGTATGAACCTTTAAAACAATGAATCGAGTAATGTCTTGAGAAACCTTGAAATTGCGTCTAAATGTTAGACAGTTTTGTTTATTTTGCGTAAGAAACGAATGATAGGATCGTGCACAATGTGCGTGGGCAGACGACCACTCTACACTGAAACAAACTTTATTTCCTAACAGAATAATGCAGCAGATAACCGACAGTTTATTTTGCATTTTAAAATTCAGGACGTGTTTTGTATTTATCGCCATAAAAAGGAAAGATCACAATTTATTCAGAAAACTGCATCATTTTTATTTACAAGCTAAGTTATACATAAAATCCTTCTCTATCTTACTAATATAATATTTAATGTACATATGGAGGATTATTTGGATGAAATTTCCACGCGAATGAAGTCGTGGGCGACAACTAGTTTATCATAATAATCTATGTTGACAGCATTTTACATAACCAATATGACAGCGGAGTGGGACTACTATGTCCGTCTCCAAAACACGGAACAAAAACGCCCGGCCCCATTTTGTGAGTTTTCTTTTAGAAAGTAAACATTAATTCGACACTAGAGCGTAAGTGGGACAGTCGCGTGCATATAGGTTGAGCGGGACGAATCGTTCATAAATATTTAATAAAAGTTCACTAAACTCTGTCGGGCGCATATCAGTCACTGTATGCATGAAACTTTCATAACATTTAAAGCTTCAGTTAACTTACAAAACATATTTTGTATGTCGTAATTTACTGACGGATTGAATTCGTCGAAATAGCGAAGCGACCGCTGCCCATAGACATCTGCAATTGCAGATGCGTTGTCTACTAGTCGGAGCAGGGGACGCACAGAAAGACAATATTTTCACTTTCTATCCGTCTCCTCCTCCGTCAAATGCACTTCTCCTTCACGTCCCTACCTTATAAAAAAAGAATGGAAAGGGGAAGAACATTAAAAGTAGGCCTGAGCCACCATTCCTATATTTAATGTTTTCTTAAGTAAAAAAAATCCCGTAGAGAGTATTGACTTTAGATGCAACGTTAGCTTGTCACCTGCTGCCATAAAGTAGCGAGCAAAAGAGAAGAGTCTCCAACATTAGCATACAGTACGTCGCTTACTTTGCATAAAATATAGCGTCCTGCTAACATCTTCTCAATACTATGTCAATATTATTTCTTTTTGAAAATTACATTTTACGCCCGTATACTTTAGAACTAACAACTTAATTATCCTATTTGTCGCAGAATTTACTATTTAACTATTAACTGAAGTTTATTATCAGGATTTTACCTGAATTTAAGAATATTCTAAAACGTGCGAGGCTGTAAATATACCGAAGTATTGAATTATTTCTTTAATCAATTTATTATAACTTCAAACTTAGGAAATGAGTTTTTATTTTTTATACGCGTAGAGAATCTCTGTTTATAACAAACGGAACTGTATATTCAGTTTGCCACATCTTATTACATTACTCTAATACGATTATTGTTATAAGAAAAATAGCAAACGATTTCTCTCCTGTATTATATAACTTTTGCTATCAAACTGCACATTGTCACGACACACCGGGAGGTCTGCGAGTGAGCCCACGTCGCTCGATGGTGCCAACATTACGCAAATGCCTAAGATGTAACAACTGATTTTAATAATATTGCTAACCTTTGTTTATATAAACAAAGATATCATAGCCGTTATTTTTCTGCTGTAAAATTGTTATAACTTAAAAAAAATGAAATTGTAAAACTCCCAACAATAAAACATAACAGTATCATATTATAAAGTCATATTAAAACATGTTATGTCTCAGGAATCATTTATAAATGTTAATTCCGTGTAGTGAAGTACTGCGCAATCATTCGTCAAGCTCGCCACTCGCCGCGACATTGTATTTCACGCGTCGGTGAAGCGACGCTACGACGGAGACGATAATCTGTGAACGTGACGCTGCCGCCACGGTACGACTACAAAACACCCAACTACAATATTGACTTTTGAAGTAATTTTTGATAATAAAACATTTTTTTTCTTTTATATATGCTACATTTCCATAGACGTTATTTCACATAGTTTTTGAATTTATCTAAATTCGACGATAACAGAAATGGTATTAAAGTAAAGCTGTATTTTACTTTTTAAATATTATAAATAACGTATTACTTGTTGATAATTATCATGATTAGTAAAACAGTCATTCATTGAATTATTTAGTATAAAATTAATATAAATAACTTAGCTATCCTACATATAGATCTGTGTGTCAATTCATACAAGTGTCTAGTCATGTACGCGAGCTAAATTCTAGGAATGGAATAATAAACAGCAAGCTTTATGAAGGACCGACGCGACGTCGAATGCGATTACAATCCCGGAATCCTTTCCACACTTTCTTATAACATAATCTCTGATAACAAAGCTAACAATATTACCATACAAAGCTTAAAAATTAGTGCTATTTTGTTATACTATCGCCCACGACTTTGTCCATGTTAATTAAAAAATTACTAAGGAGTTGATGCGCTATGCTGTCTTTATTTCTGTTTCAAATTTCATCCAAACCCCATTGGTAAAGTAACTTAAAAGATCCATAGATCCATTCAAACTTTTGCATTTACAATACAGCTTTTGTTGTTTAACAGATTAACAAAATCGTGCTCTATGGTACAACGAAACTAATTTCGCAATCCAGCCACGTCTCCCGTCACATCGATATTGAGCAATAAACATTGTCTATGGTGGCGGCAACTTTTATCGCGTGTGGGCAACGACCATAAATAAAATATTAATAGTTTTAATTACGCAATAATGCAGCGAATAAAATTGCATACAACGTTTGAATATCGAAGGCATTAAGCATACAAAGATAATAAAAACTTCTTTTTTAATGTTTATTGAAACTTATTAAACAGTAGGTTATACAGAACCAAGTTGTAAGCCTCTCCTATATGGGAATTAGTGAAACGATTAGAAAATGCGTTGGAGGAAAGTAAAAGGGAAGTTTGAACATAATGTTTATCAAAGATGATTGCGTTTTTAATAATCTCTTTTGACCATAACGATTCAATTTATTATCTAGGCAAAAGCTTGTTAATAGTATTGTGTTATCTTTTACTTAAATGTGGGGGACATTGCGATCGGATATTGTTATATTTGAATTTTCAACTTTATACGTTTGTTGCAAATAGAAAATTTTATGATGTTAGCGAAAGCGCGGGAAATGGGGACAGCACTAAACTTTATTGCCGGTGTCCAACGAATATCAAATCCAAACCTCGACACTTCCTGCTACAAACTACTTTTATGTCGCTTTTCTCTTTTTTTACGATAATCTTATTGTAAAGTAGTTAACTATATCCATATATTAAAGTATGTCTCCCGTGTATTAAAATTTAGTAGAGGACTAATTGTCTGGTAAAAATTGTCATAACTAAAGTGAAATTATGTACATCTTGACAAATATCTTACTTATATAATAAATTCGAATGTGACATAGATGGATGGATATTTGTTTGGAGTTGTCTCCAAAACTGCTTAACGGATTTCGATGAAATTAGGCAAAGATATGAATGCTATTGAATGAATATGTAGTTTTTTTTTTAATTCCGCGCGGACGGAATCGCTGGCGACAGCTGGTATGGTTATAACATAAAATAATAAGCCTAAAACAATAACAAGTAGACATTGTTTTGCCATCTAAGCAAAAAGATTCACATAGCAAGTAGATAAAAGGACAACATTTTTTAATACTTCCATAGTTGGAAAATCCTGAAAACCACAGATACAAAAAGATATATAATTGAAAATAAATGAGGCGCGTGTAGTGACGTCACGCGGCATTCACAGTGCCTTTTGAAAAATTAACGAGTCGCTGCAATGTTCGCGGATAAAAGGCCCTCCTTTCAGAGGAGCCCTCCCAGTGTTGCCAGACTCTGACGGCTGTTCTCTTTAGGGTTGCCATTGATAATGTCTCGTTGGTTAGATATTCTACAATCTTGCGTAAAATACGTCAATGCATCGTTAAAAAAGTATAAAAGGAAAAAATATAAAACCTATTATATTTATGTCCGAATAATTTAAAAATAATACGCGAAATAAATTGGAACATTTTTTCTTAAAGGGTATTTTCAGGTACAAATTCAATCAAACTGTGTATTATTTGCATTCATTGCTTAAATCTCAACAAATATTCAAAACTGTCGTCTCAAGTTAGCAAACTGTTTAACTTTTTCAATTCTCAGTTAAGTTGGCAGCACTTAACTGTTGCTCGGCAGAGCGGCAACTTGCCGGCAGAGCGGCAACTTGCCGGCAGAGCGGCAAATCGCCTCGCCTGGCACGGTAACAACTTTTGCTTTAAAGTGTATTTCGGAGATTGAATAACATCGTAACTTTGATATATTTAAAGTGAAAATTCAAAGTTGAGTGACGTAACAGAAACTATCAATCTTTTTACAACTACTATCATTTTTTGCAATTTCTAGGTTATAATCTTACTTTTTTTTTCTCCATTTGATTGATGCATAGCGGACCATCTGATAGACAGACATAGATGTGTTAAATAAAATCTTGTGCGATCAATATTTAGAATAATATAGCTGTCGCCTACGAATATGCCCGCGCGTAATTAAAAAAAACTTAATAAGTAGCCTCCATGTTCTTACACACCGTTGAGTCGTTACGAAAATAAGTTCAAACATTCGCATTTTTAATATAAGTAAGATAAAATTGTTAGTGCTGTCATTTGGCTTAGATCCACATGTTTACTTAATGATAATGAGATTTTTATGCTAGCGTTCTTTATAAAAGCTAAGAACACTAGTGTGTAATGTGCACTGGCTTTTACAAATGTAAGACATGCTTTACAATGACGTCACTGGAACAGCGCACCTCATTACTTAGCCAGAGAAATATCTGCCATTGTCTCGTGCAGGGTAAATGAAACCAGCCATTTGTTTGTATTTTTATTATCACCGAAATCACGTGTGGCTGTGATGTAAATTAGTAAACGAAAAAAATTATGATAGTAAATTCGTCAATAAACCCTTTCATCGAGATTTTACTGCCCTACTATATGTCTAAAATAAAAAAAAACTATAGAAGGTCTTTTGGATATTAATCAAATAAGATTCTTATTTACGTGTTAAATGAAATATCGAAAAAATATTTTGCACGAAGTCAAACGTCAGTCAAATGACCCCTTAAATTTTTTAAGTTAAAGTAAGTCACTGAAAAGGCCTCTACATCAATAGAATACCAAGAAATAAAGTTATTCCATTTAATAATAATTTCCTGCTCCCGGCTAAAGATCATACCGTGAAAGGATTTTTAGCTGCCAAAGAAAATATCCCGAACACGTTAATTTGTGTATAAAATATACCTTTTCACCTTAGCTTCAAGGTTGACATTCCTTTGTATATGATAAAGTTGACAATTCATCACCGAGAAGTGTATGCCAATGATATTATGCGTAGACACGCGTCCTAGCGATTTACTCAACAAATTATAACAAAGTAAAATACACTCTATTTCAATTGAATAGAATCGATTTTATGATTGCTATCTTCTTAAAAAAACATAAGATATCTTTACTAAGGCATTCCATTTTCAAAAGTAAAACCTGATATTATGCATAGGTAATTGAACCTTGTGCTTATGAGTTAGAGTCGTAATTGCAATGTCAAGGTTGATTAGGGTGGCGGCCACTTGAGGTGCCGGTGCTCCGTGGTGCGGCGATAATCCGCAAGCGTCGTGCGCGGACGCGGTTTCCAAACGTCAACGTCACGAACGGTACAGATTAAAAATAACATTTGTTTTTTTTATCAGTCAAAGATGAAAGCTAACATGGTTATTAATATTGATTTAAATAAACATATTTTTATATTTCTTCAGACACGTTATACTCTTTAAATTTTTAAAAAGAGTGTCTATTAGTAACCTTTGTTTTGCATGTATTACTAATTTTTGCAGATATACATAAAAAGGGAAAAAGGAAGTCTTTTACGTCCTTAAAATTCTGTACAAATTTAACACGTGTCTGTAGTTTGTATTTTAATATTATCTGAAGTAGTGATACAAAAGGCATAAAGCATTCTACTATTGAAACACATTTGCTCTTTATTTCTAAAGGTCAATGCCCCACTGTGAGACAAATCTTATTTTATTATTATGATAATTCTTGTCCGTGATACTGTAAGGTCCTCCTGGGAGCAAATTTGTCATCCATCACCGTCATAAGAGATCATTTACTCTGGTAGATTGCCGCGAGCGGTCCCGGTCCCGGACTTGCTTCCCGGCCTTAACTAATAGCCTCCCGACACCGCTGCTGATTTATTCAATGAAATTAATGTGTTCCCGATAAACGGCCAATAACGCAAATATAATTTTAAAATTAACTATAAGTCTAATAACAATATTTTGTATCCACTATATCTGTAATGTAGTTATTAATTGAAACTAACGTCCCTCCATATAATTACTTCCTTTCCTTTAAATTAATATTGCCTCAAAATTCTGACATTTCAAGTAAATTTTTTCATCAAAAGCCATTCAATAAAACCTCCTTTGTGCTACCTAAATGCCAAATTGCCACATCTACGCGAGGGGAATAAATCAGTATCCCAAAATGCACACCCCCGGGGTCCCATTATATTTAGGGCGAATACTATAAAAATCGGGGTGAACCGTATGAAACGGATACAATAAATAAACGCCATAATTAACTCCATTCATACATCGTATTATCTGTACTTATTTGAGAGCGGACGAATTTTAGCAAATGATCACAATAACATAACAATAGAAGCGAATGCGCGCGAATTCGATGCGTGTGACAGTCGGGAGCGGGGGCGGCCATTTTGTATTGTCATCGTTGCAAATGTCGATGTTGCTAATTGAGGGTGTTTGTAGCAGGATGCTGGCAACATCTGTGAACATCGCGCCTTAACAAATGAGCGCTCAATATTTACAAATTAACCGGGGGAAAGGATATTAAGCTATTAATATACTAAATTACCCTATAATTCAAACATTTCTTAGTACGTTGCTTCACTTAGGTTGACATTGTTTGGATTCAAATAGAAAATTATATTTTGAAGATTGCGTGTATAAAATATAAATATCACTTATGAAAAGCTTAAAAATTATAAAAATTTCATAAGCCCAGATTTCCCTAACTAAAAAAAAATAAAAAATGTTTCCTTAAAATTTTTCTCGACATACACATTATATATTACAAGATAAGAAATAAAGAAATACAATTATACATGCTCACATTGTTTTTTTATTAAGATAGCCCACCGTGTACTCCGTAGTTTAAAAAAATGTCCACTCGGCTCCATGGTGAAGCCGCCTTTGCCTGCTTATCATTTGAAAAAAAGATAACCGCATTCGGCCACCGTAAATCCTCCAATCTGTCAACATGAATGACTCATTAAAATTCCCGCGTAAAACAAACAATACGATCCATTTTAATATTTAATTCTCTACGTGTCTGTTCTTAACAGCAATAATTTTAACTACTATTAGGCATTGTATTCAAATAACTGTTTTATGTGTTTGGAATATAGAAAAAATGGGAAGTCTATTCTTATTCCTTGTATTACAAAGAGTTGACGAGCGCTTAAATTGTAGAAATATGGGTTTATGGGAAATGATAAAACATTGTAAGTATATAAAACGTTCATTTCATTTCTCCAAAACTTAATATAAATATGCCTACACTTATAAAACATAACTTTCTGTTTGAATTTTAGACTCCGTTGTGTCCCAGTAGATTTAACAAATGTCATCGAGACCGACACAATAATGTGGATGTTTTTTTTATTATAAAAGTAAATCAGCAAACATTTTCATCCGTAATGCCAGTGTGCGCGTCCTTATTGTAAGAAATAATCGTCCCACGTGTACGGAAGTCAGACGTGGTAAATTGCGATGTAGTCAGTTTGTACACGTGGGCGTTAGAACCTGCCTAATTTCATGCCTAAAACTTGTAACGGTCAATCTAGATTAACTTAACAGTTTCTAGCACTACTGTTTTCATGAAATGACTTAATTTACTATTGCAATCTCTTACAATTAACAAGTTATTTTATTTTATTTGTATTCTTTGATATAAGTAAAGTTAATTAAGAAAGATTTAATAATTAATGTTACAACTGCACATAAATTCTACACATCTATAGATAGTATCATAAACTACATCATTTACAAAGAATTTCTTAAGAAAAACTATTAAGAATTCGATGTATTTTAACATTAACACTATATAAAGGCAGGAAGCAATGAAAGTGAATCTTTATCAGGAGTCGACGTGCCTGCTCCTGGTTGATAGGAGGCGAGTTGGATCTCATAAATCCTCCCCCAAGATAATAACTAGCGTGTAACTATAACCGAGCTATTCCGGGCCAACCGCCGCCCCTGTACGATTTATGACGTGTTTTGTAACGCGACGTCGCCGTAGCTATTACGCGAACGCACTGAAAGTTCCAAATGCTTAGCAGGGATGTATCACTCGACTCTTTTACTCAGCGTTTTTACATTGTAAAAGCGAACCTAAGTAGTCGATGTTGTTTGTCTCTTTGTGTTGTTTTTATGTTGAGCGAAAGCGTTTTTTTAATTGATGCAACGTTGCATCGAACATTAAGTAAAGGGATGTCTTTTTCTCTTGCATTCCACACTATGTTTTAAAATGATAAATGATGCCATAAAATGTAACTTTATGTGTTTTAAAATTGTTGCTTGTAATATTATCAAACATATTTATCATCCATAAATAAACAGTTGATGTAGTTTATTGAATATAATAAGTACGTTAAATATGAAAAGCCCTTGACCGTAGAACTTTCGCTTTCAGTAGTTGTTAATGTGTAAATGAGCGGGT